AAACATGCCAAGGCCCCGCCCGCTAAAGCGTGAACCAATCAGCTATTGTTGCCAATAGTGAAATGACTGATTGACACCGATTTCTCATTAATATTAATGATTTCCAAGTGAGGATTTTTGATGGCCTTTTTGACCATCGTGGATATTGATGTACATTAAAAATGTTTTAGTTTCTATAATCTTCCTCGTCTAAATTTGATTTGTTGACATCTGTAATATTCTCAATAATCAGATGCGTAATTGTTGCCACTGATCAAATGTGTGAAATCAAAATTAAAATTGTTCTCTAGTATAAAGGAAAGTTTCTGTCAGTTCCGTTCATCCCATACAAAATATTCTTCTTACCCCCTGTATCTATTATAATAAGCAGACTAACAAGTTGATAGCGCACGCCAATAACAACTTGAAAATTAAGTTACAGTTGGCAGCTTGTCTCTCCTGGTGTGAACTCTGGGAACTTACAGAGGTCATGGGTTTTACATCTTCGCTTTGCTGAAGGTCAGGTTCGTTTGAATGACTATGTTTTTCATCTCTTCAGTTTGAAGTTCTGCTCACAATTAACACTGTCGGTATCAAGTCTTTGCCAGTATGCCAAGTTAAGTAGCACTTTAAGCATGGCTTGGGTGCGTCAGTACCTGCATATTAAGTTGAAATGCGTCATTACCTGCATGGGAATGGGAGAGGGTGGGAGAATTTGTGCCAAAAATGCAATGTTTCCACATGGGAGCTGGTACTGGAGCATACTTCTGATCATCTTGACATTTGAGGTTGACCTTTGATAGAAAGAGTGCATGTCGCCCTGGTAAAGGCATGTCATTTGACACCCACAGTCTGTCATCTGTTGCGCAAGATCATGGAAGAGGAGGTAGCAAATGAGTCTTTCTGAAAGCTACTATATAGCAGAAAAACTATTAGTGGCTCTTAAACTTTACAGGGCAGGCATACATGTACATCACCCTCTTCAACCTACAACCACTCAGAACTCAGTACCATCATTAGATCATTTTGTTACATCATTTGGATTGAACATTGACCTAATGAAGAGCTGTCTCTTTTATGCAATACTCTACCCTTTTGGGGGACTAGATGTATTTTTAAAAAAAATGTTTCATATCAAAATCTAAGAAAGATACACAGACTATTCAGGCATGCTTTCTATAGCCAGGAATGCAGCACCACAACCTCAAAAAGATATTCATTACTTCTTTAATGGCTAGCTGAAGATTTCAATGTATGCTGATTTTCTTTCTTTCTTTCTTTTACTTTCACTTTGCAAAACAGTAAATATCAGGAGTGTTCTCTATCTGTAAACAAATGTATACTATCTTATAAAAGTATTTCAAGTTTATCAACCACCAAACGTACCCAGTACGAAAGTATAACCAGTGAGAGTTCTGTGCCACACCCCCTTGTATGCCACACTACCTAAGTTGGACCCTTGCCAGTGTTTGCTCTGAAGGCTGAATGTTGAGATGTGATTGGTGGTATCACACCTCGCACCACTGGCACCCAACAACATAGAGGAAATCCAGTAACAGGAAACACCTATATGTACGCTAAAAACATTTTACATAACATCAGCTGATGTATAACAATTTATAAAGCCTTTCTGAGAATAGCAATTTTTAGTCTTTAAGTTTGTCTTTAAAATGTCAAAATTTGGCGTGTGTTAAATTTGTGAAAATTTCACTTGTCATAATGATTTAGTTGTAATGGAAACCCCCAGAGAGGTAACTGTTAGTACAGCATTACCTCATAGTATGTTCAAACAGACACACCCCCTTCCTGTGGCCCGCTTGATCAATAGTCAAATCCCTCGCTTCTGATTGGTTGCCTTTGTTATATTGGTTGTGTTACCTGTGTGTTTCTAAGAAGAGGAAGTTGAAAGGGAAGTTCTAACCACACCTTTCTGTGGAAAAACAAATTTATATATACAATCAAGCTGCTATCCTGGCATTTCTGTCATACTATTGACACATGAAGAAAGATAGGGGCAAATTGATGATTTCCTGTGCCTTCATTGTGAACTAAAACACCTTACCTGCACAATGAGTGAATCCATTCATTCACATGGTATGATAATCATATAAGTATCAAACTCAAATCTATGTCATCTGATGAAACTGTAGAATGAAAAGTGACTTTTGAAATAGAAATCACATAGATACCAGTATTTATTAAAATCAAAACTAATTATCCCATAGCATGTATGATAATATATATACTATCATACTATCATACATAAGATATAAATCTGCACATTGAACAGTTGATAAACCCTCAGTTTACCTCCTGTTCTTAATTATCATTCATGATAAAGTCAATCTTAATGAAATTATTTTCCCTCAAGTACATTGCTTCATGATAAAACAAGTTTAATAAGGACATCCCAGACAGTAGTCGTCATTATCTCACACAGAGACCTTGACTATGCATTTGTAAATTTGATGAATCACCAGTCATAAAAGTCTCTACTCTCAGAAGAGACAAGTCCTTAACATTAAGTGATTTATCGCTGTACTGTCGCCACAGTGTGATTTGTCAGCCAGTCTTATATTTACACTAATGGTTCCATGCAGTCTGAATGAAAATCAATTTTGAGTTGGGTTTCTTGGAAGAGTAAGGTGGTTCATTGCACTCTCTGTGGTAAACAAACCCAGAACATGTTTTCACATGTATAACAAGCTATGGTTATTAATCAATACTTTCTTATTTGTCATGGTCTGTTTTATCTGTCAATGTATCATAGTTATTAGTTTTTATATTTTGCTTCAAGCTGAAAAACACTTGTTGTGGATAAAATTACTAGTAAGAGAGAAAGGCAAGGTCTATTGTCATAGATATGATAACCTGGTTAGTGTCCTCATGTCACCTTTCCTTGTATGTGCACCTTACACCAGCCATACCAGATTGTGTAAAGAAAAGACCCACATAGAATGGACCACAGTTCCTCACCCATGGCATTTTTCTCACCAATGTAATACCCTTCAAAAGCATGTCATCTGCAAAGTAATGACCATTAAGATTTAAGTTTTTGTGGATATTCATTAAACCCTTTATTCTTTAGTGTCATATTCATGCTGGGAAAAAATAATTGAGTGGTGCTCCTTGATTCTAATTTTGGGTAAGGCCAAGAACTCAAACACCCCTCATAATTTGCAGGCAGAAAAATTATTCCAGCTCTCACGTCATTGTCATATTTGGTATTTTGTTGTGGTGAAACTGTATACAGCACACCCTGTTCAAATGTTTGTGATAAGAATCAAACATGGGTCATCTACTCATGTCATGTCTTGTATAAATCAACAGGAAAATTTTATTTCAACATTCAACTCCATCAGTAACACGTAACTTCAGGCTCTCTGAATTATAATCATGTAACATTATCTCTCTACCAGAAAAAGTCAACTAGTGAAAGACAGAACTCTGTTTGAGGCCATCATCTGTGCTTAAATTTCTACTACGCAGGTTGTTTGGCACCTCGCCAAGTTTGAAGAAAACCAATCACGCCCCCTTTTACTGACAAACGCAACTTGAGAGCCTTCCTGCGCAAGCTTAGGCCCCTTTCAAGGACTCCTCCATTCAATGACCCCAAAGAGTGTTGCCGGCATGCCACCAGCTATAGCAGAACTTAAAACACAGAGGTTGAATGTAGGATACGTTATTATAAGCTAGATTAGCGACCAGTTACCTCACAGGACACCTGTTATATAAAGGACAAGGTATACACAAAGCTTGTGGCACAAAAATATCATTTACACCATGTAGATTTCTTCTGTAGTAATCATCACAGTTAAATTTAGCACTTTTCAGGGCTATGGCTCAGCTTATGGAAATCATACCCGCCTGTTCACTCTCAGTGATAGGGAAAGTGATATCTTTTGACAAGGCCAAACTGGGCATGTCACAGATATACATGTACATGTATGTCGTGTATGTTGACAGTTTACTTGCACCTAGAATGCCTCTAGTACCAACTAATGCCGCATATGTGAGGGTGTTGCCTGTACATGTTTGCACAGATATTGTATCTGTGACGGATATTCATGTCAGACATATGTTTTTGTCGTAATCTAAACTGCGCACATCCACCTGCACCTTCTGTTTCGCTGTACTTGAAATCAATGGACTTTAAGGTCACCACGTTCCACCCAATGCCAAGAACGAGGCCATCTGTCAAACTACCCCTGGCAAGAAAAACAAATTCTCAATCTATCAAAAGAAACTGCTCTGGGCTGGAAGGCTAAAGAAGGACAAAACAATTTAGAAAATCTGTGTTGCAGATAATGTCCAATTACTCAGATAGAGCAAGTTCGTCAGAGCTTAATTTTGTTGACACCATATGACAGACGTGAGTGTAATGGATCACAAATTGCTTGTTAAATGGTGAAAGGTCAGTTCAAACGTCATTACTAGTTGTGTCCTACAGGGCAATCACAACAGGGGAGCATGTTTTGTTAGGCTTGACTGGATCATTCTCATACATTGTTGCTGGCATGTCACAGCATGCAGTTTGTACATTTGATCCAATTTCTGCAATGGGGTGATGTAAACATACAGGGGACCCTCCCCCCAAAAGGGGTGTGTCACTTTTAACCCACATACAAGTGTGCCATAGTACAGCGCAGATGGAAAATAACAGTGGCTGTATATAATCCTTGGTGTTAATATATAACTTCCATATTTATATTATCAGGTCACATTATATTATGTTTATTTCCTTACAAATTCCCAGTAACCTGTACAACAATAATCACTCCTGATTGAACACTCAACAACAAGCCACCCTTGACAATGTCACTATGTCAGATGCACCTTGCTTCCTGTTTTGGCTTTAGTACAGAAATGAATCCACAGTCAACAATTCTATAATGTCTGAATGAGTTTGCCCATATGTCACAATGTAATGTCTGAGGATAAGGTCTCCCTGTCCGTGAAAGTGATCTGTTTACCAGAGTGAATCACTGTGGTTTGACTGTTTCCTTGGCCATGTTTTTCAGACTCCATATAAGGATTGTGTCACTAGTGACCAGACGGCCGGGAGTCAGAGAAACAGTCCACTTGTTGTCCACGTCTCATCGGGTTCCTGCGTGGTTCGTAACCGTTCCCCCCAAGCTCTTCTTGGAAGCCGGGCGACACGCCCCAATAGGAGACCCCTTTTCAGGACACACCCCCAGTTATGAAAGGTATTGCGTATGCGCTCTTCCATATAAGGAGCTGTTTTGCCTCGTGACCCGGCCTGCATGAAGTGTGTGTACGTGGGTTGGGAGGACAATTACTCTGTGACGCAGTTCAGCAGGCGGGCTGTGTTTACGTGTCTTTTGACTACGTCCCTACTGAGAAACTGGTAAACAACTGAGTTTGGCTGAAAAACAAAACATCTGCTTGCCCTTGAGGAAAAAATAGAGCAAGTGACCTGTGAGGAGATAAGAGTTTTGGCATGTTGCCTCTGAGAAGCCAGAAGGATATCTAGGGCAAATTAAGTGTCTTTTTCGTGTGTGTTGCACAACAATGGTCCATAGCATTGATCTGTTATTACAGGTAGTAAAGAATGAATAACAAACAAGTGTGATCCAGTCACATATTTCTGGGATCCAGCTATACATGTTGTCAGTGTGAAATATTTTCCAACATGTCATGAACATGTAAACATGGGAAGGGGGAAAGGTCAACGTACTGTAGTACAATCTGTGGGAACCTGGTGTCAAGGACACGTTTGTTTGGGAGAAGGTCTTCTTTTACTGATTTGAAATGTCATTCTTTACAATTATTCTTCAGCATCACAGAGAAAATTTAAGTTCCTTTTTTTGTTTACAGATAATATCTGTACCTTGAAAAAGTTCTTAGTCGGGAAAAGACTAAAAGACCTCTGACAAATAATGTGATTGAATTTCTGTTCTCCACAGAATGTTGACAAAATGTTGACAAGAAAAACAGGGAATAACTGGCAGTACAAAGGCTGGGGTAGAAAATATTGTTCACGTTGTTGGCATTAGTGTATTTTTGTTTGTGCTAGGGTCCCTGTACCAGTGTGTGTTGTGTCTATACAAGTAGATGACAATGTGAGTTGTTTATGAAAAAAAAAATTGTTTTTATTGTCATGATGATGTAATTAACTGATGCCAGAATTTCTCTATGTAACCTGATTTGTTTTTCTTATCCTACAAGTGCCAAAACAAATTTGGATGAAAATATTTTTTTGTACACTATCAATTTGAATATTAAACTTCCAAACTGTTGACAGATGCCAAAATATTAATGTACATGTATGAAATCCTATGCATGAAGAATTACACATATCACATTTACAGATATGGTCAGAAGCCATGGAAATGGCACAGAGATTTCTCTTTGATATGTTTACTGATTGTGTACACATGTAACCTAAGTCAATCTTTAATTGGGTTAAGCTAACAACATGCAATAGCTTGGTTGCTGTTCCTTTCCAGACAACGTGCTTGCAATTTTTGATTCTCAATCAATACCAAGAGACACTATTATTCAGTGACCTACTTCCAGAGGGAAGGTCGCTAGCCCTAAGTCCAGTGATGAGGAAGTAATACTAGTGAAGGAATAGAAGCTTTTACTGTTTCCTCCTTATAAACTGTATAATCACCAGGAGATTAGGTCCATTAACGTAAATGTGGACTGGTAGTAATGATCCATTAAAGAAGTCGTTTACGTGAAAAAGATTTGTTGGAAGAGTGAAATTTGATTGACAAGAAAATTATCAGGTAAACGGTATCACATGCCAGAGTCCTGAAAAATTTCTTGCTTTTTGTGAATACCCTCATATCATTTGAAACAATATAACATGAATAGTTGAATTATATCACAAACTCAGACATGGTATAATTGTTAATGCTGATAATGTAGGCTGAGGCTCAGAGTCAGGGAAGACAGTTCAAGTTGATATTTACATGGTTGTCAATCTTTTCATGCACCAAATTCTCAAAGTGGCAGTGCATTTAGGAAGACATGGCCAGCACATTTGACCTTCACACAAGCCCATAACAGAGAGGACATAAAACAGTCATGCAAAGGTCAAGTTGCTGTCATCCTGAGTTGCAGTGAGTTCACATATCCTTCAAGATCTACATGATAAGAATTTTGGAAGATATTTTGATGACTGCTTTTCAGTTCACTCATCTCTTGCCTGCTATGTATTAATTTTTTTTCAAATCAAAGCCAAAAGCCAACTAAACCTAGAAAAGCTACACCTACTGATGGCCTTTGATTTATGTTTCCTTTTCACCATGGTTAATGACTAGAGACAGGTTTTTAATCTTTGCAATCCAATGACAGATTGTTTGACACACAAAAAAAAAGACATGCCAGGGTCAACAGGTTTTTGCAAGGGTTGGTGGAGAACCATAGAACACAACATGTTTTTCTCCAGGCCTAAGCCCAGTCAATGACCTGACATTAAAAGTAGTTACATCAGCCCTACAAAAAACAAGCATTATGTCACTTCAGGCCAGTGACCCTGTTTACCATGCTGTAAGCTCATGTGACATGCCATACTATCTGTGACACCTTTATAGTTACTACTGATCAGTATGGCTCAGCAACGTGTTAACGCTTGTGTATTACTTTGAATGACTGGTTTGTTTGTTTGTTTGTCACTATAACATTTGTGCTAATGTTCGATTATAAATACTAGTAAATTACAGGTACAGTTTTAAAACTAGTCCATACCTAAAACCCCTGCTGACACTTAAAGGTTGTTGACTCCTTGTTTTTTTTGGGTGAAGTTGTGAGAAGAGCTTGCATGAGGACACGTGTGTGCAGCACATCTCCGCATGTGCTTGTGCAGATAACGCCCCTCAACACCAGAATGTCAACGGTGCTCAGGCTGATAGCAGTGTTTACCAGGTCAGGCTATGTTCCCTTCACCTGCTGGGGCACGTGTGGAGGCTCCACTCGACCCACAGGTCAGTGTACTACATTGGATACAAAGGATCACATGTAATGAACATCATCTCGTGAGCACTGACAGATGAGAGCATAATTGTGACTCCTGGGATGCTCAACAACTCCGTCAGTTTCCACAGTGCTGTAAGTTTGACCAATGATGGAACCCCCTTGGTTAGATCTCCTTACTTCTCAAAAGGGGTGACATCTGTGAGGTCAAGGCCATTTGGAGAACTTAGTGAAGGAACCACAAAACCAGAAACATTGCAAGAGAAGGACAGCACAGAAGGAGGCACAGATTGGACAAAAGTCATAGGTAAGGTAATAGGAAATCTGTATGGAGCTATGTATATACTTGTGTTTAGTTTGGGTGTTACCTCTTGGTTTCTATAATGTTCTTGCCTTATCATTAAATGTCCATTAAACAAGAAATTTTGTTGATTTGGCCTGAAAAAAACACTTAGGCAGATAGATTGCACACTTAATAAGACTGTATGTGCAAAACAATGTACCCATGCATGTGGTATCTGTATAACAGTACAATGAATTTCATTGTCACCATGTGAGAGATGGGAATTTGATAAAATCTTGTGACACCTGTTAAGATATGACCTATTGTACGACTTGACCCACATTGGGTGTGCCTTTGGAGAGACTATCTTGCCTGGAGAGATATTTTGTGCAATCAGGCTTAGACAAGATCCCACCTTGTCGATGTTGTCTACCTTGCAAAAATTAACCACATTCTGCCGTCAAAAGGGTGTGGAAGTCACAGGCTTATGGCACATGGAAAATGCAAACATGAATTAAACTGAATGCTCAATTGACATTTGAACTCATAATGGGTGTTGGTTGGCATACTTTTGTAGCTTTGGGCTCATTATAGAAAGTCAAGTATCCATTTGTAGTCTATTCTGAAGTATTATGCTTTTATCAATTGCATGCACCAGGACCACTTGATTTTTTTTACATTTGAAAAGGTCTTGGCCTCACCCAGAAACAAGCGGTATGACTCAGATTTCGGGGCATAGTTTCTCACCTCTGTCTACCTTTGTCTTTCTCAGTTTCTGGTTAAAATATGCATGCATTCCTCATCAAATGTTTTTACAATGTCTGCATAGACTTCACATCACAACAGGAATCAAAGAAGTTAAGTTACCAAGAACTGCACAGAAACATTGGAATGGAAATAACCTTGTTTGTACACCTTGTCATGTAACCTCTCTGTTCACTGTCAAACCTGTCATCATGTCAAGTTTTGTTTACCAACAAGACAGGAGACAGGAACAGTTCAACCCCTGATTGACATGCATGCTCACAAGGTTATTGGGGTTCAGACCAAATGCTATCTGAGACAACAGTCCCTGTTTGGTAAGTTGAAAGAAAACAGCTGTTCATTGGTCAATACATGCAGATAAGCAAGTATATTGTAATGTCTGGTCCCATGTCATGCACCTGTTAGTGATTAATATTATTCCTGATGATTACAGGAAAGAACAGAACGGCACAGCATGGTACAACCTTCTTCATCCCAAGGACAGGGACCCTTGACATAAGGATCATGTCAAGACACATGTAGGTCATACCATGGGTGTGACTTATAAAGGATGAGTCATTGGGCAGAACACCTTACATTGTCTTTTGTGGTCTGCATGTTGTTAGGCCCAGGAGGTCTAGAGTTGTCTTGATGTGATAACCTGTCCCTATGACTTACTTATAATTACAGGGTGGTAACCTTACATGTCAGGTGGTTCAGACAGGTGGATGGACAGGGGATAGAGTTGTCGCGTGCCTCACAAAGCTGATGGATGGATGTGGGCACCAATCCTAAACCATAATGTATTGAGTCTTACTGTGGATTACTCTGGTCATCTTGTGTCAATCTAAACCATTAGTAGCCAACTGCACAAGGTAAGCTTGCAAGCTATTTTTTTACACTAAGTGATGTCATTCTGATTTAGTGTAATTAGGTACAAAATTAATCAGACATCAAAGTGGTTTTGGATTGCAAAAGCAACACTCACTCAGCTGCAAGAAGGGCCCTGAAGTATTGTACATCACCAGTACTGCCAGTAATAAGTAACTTAATTACACTAAATGTATGAATGATGTAGGGTAGTAATATAAAGACAGTAATTAGCCCCATGTTGTGGCAGAAAAGGCTGGCCTATGAGGGGCAGCACCTTTCTCTGGTGTCTTGCTGGTGGCTCCACCCACCCCAGCTCCCACCACAACATGCGGGACTGTATCCACATCCAAAGTCTAGACTCTAGACATAAAGAAGTTGTGATGTACAGCAGTTTGATACTAGTGAGAATCTTAGATGTGTGCACTAGTACATGTAGGTAGGTCCTGCCATCCTTGATAAAAATCCTTGCCAATGAGAGTCAGACCATGCCAATCCTTCAATGTTTTAAATGCCAATGTAATGAGTGACCTCGGAGACTTATTCCCTATTGACTAGAGAGTCCAGCCTTGTCCTTCTCTCTTGACAAATTGAGCGGCAGGTGAGAACAGCAGACAGGCTACCCCTCACATGACTCAGCTAGGGCCAACTGTCCTTGGCCAATCATAGGCCTGCATTTCTTGAACTGTGCCTGTCAGGTAACTGTGAATATTTCCTCCAATCAAAGACCTTCACTTCGAACTGTATTTAGAGCAGTTAAAAAGTAATGACACAAATGTTCTTTGCACAAAAACATTTCCATTAAAGCTACTAGTATACAATTTACTAAAAGTGTGTGTGGGGGGGGGGGCAGCTCAGGTCACCTGCTAATGGTTCTACAGAGGAGTGCTAACCCTTCAGGCTATCTAGAGTCACAGCGCATGTGTGGTATAACGGTAACTATATATCAACATGCCAGTGCAAGCGATGAACGTATCTAAAGCCGATTACTGCTGGATTTGACACTACGGGATGCCAACGTTTATGCTGGAGTTTGTTTTCCACCGAGCGATCTATTTTGGGCGAGCGGTTCTATATTTGTCAGATAGGCCACATCCGTTGGGCACGCCGTCGAACGAATGTGGGTGTGCGCAGTCCACAATGTAGACCAAATTTGTTCCGGTTAACGTTAACCCGTTCTCAGTTATTAGGCTGGAACAGATTAATGGTCGTTACCACGGAGAGAGAATAACATTCCCGCCAACAAAACGTATAGTGAACAGCAGTGGTTGGAAAAATGCTTTATGACTAGTTGCCGTTGCCGATGTTTTCACGACTAGTTATTTCCCATTTAAGTCATGACTACCCTGCCCTTTTCCAGCCACATATAAGCCGGATCAAAGAACGCCGGTGGATACGATTACTTCCACTCTAATGATGTATGATGGTCAGAATCTCAATGACAGGTTCTCTGGATTAAACACACATATTTAGCCTCCTTTGTAGACGTTCCGGGAGCGGTCGGCTTTTTTTCTAGGGTTGGCGGCCTGAGCTTCTAATGCGTGCGATCTACGTTTGATCAGAAAATAGTGCAAGTTGCAAATAAGCGCCCCCCCCCCAAAAAAAGCCGACCGCTCCCGGAACGCCTGCAAAGAAGGCAAGTACGTATTGAAACTATCACCATCGAACAACCCATATTTTGTGAGCCTGCCAAGCTCAATTGTTATAGTTTATCCGACTGAAATGTTGCTTGCATAAGATGTAGCTCTGCATGCATGGCTCACCTTCCTGTACATGTTTTCGGAGAAACACTTCTTCAAAAAAGTCAAGGCACATATCATGCTTAATCTTAACGATTACTAAGTGGCAATCCTCGAGGTGCCGAACGGACCAACGCGGGGTGGCTGATAAAAGCACTCTGCCCACCCTTCAAACCGGACTGACGTGTGCTTCAAACCGAACTGAATCTCCCTTACGGTCCGGCGTGTCACATGTTAGCTTACGGTGCCTCATTCGCTGCCTGAGGTCGCCTCACGATCACACCGACCTGTATTAAGTTGTTATGCTAGTTCTAGCTCATTAAAACTTTGCTCTTCAATAACCATCATCTCACACCCACTACCCTTGCTACGGAAATGCTCTGGGTTTTATAAGCTATATTTAACGCTTTGGCTCCCATTCACAAGGAAATACTAGCAGCGAAAGGCACTTCCTGTGTTCCCTGAGAGCGTGAACGGAAGTAGACTACTCTTAGATGTCAGGGTTTGCGCGGCCGCTTGCCTTGCTGAAGTTCTCCCATCGGAAAATGTGGATATCTAATTTGGGACAAGTTTAAGCTTTGTGACAAAGTCTTTACATTTGCGGTCTGGTAATATTAGCAAATATACTGAAGGGCTCCACATGTATGACTTATAAATGAAAAGCGGTGTTCAAACAGACATCAGTGGAAGTCGTGATCACCATTCTCTTGAATAGTGGCTGAGGTCTAACATTAAGAAAATGTGTGTTGAGGTTGTTCAAAAGTTACATGGTTGCGGTAGGGGAGGGGGGCGCTAACGTGGTTATGTGGGTGGGGTGGAGTGATGATCGCCTCGTGCGACCTTGCTTTCAGTACCAAGGACAGCATGACATATGATGAAAATACAGTCACCGCTTTGGACTAACGTTGGACCGTGAGTGAAGACCTTGCCGATCCCCATTGATTTTCTGATAGAACTAACGTTGTTATTTCTTTTGTATCACAGTCCATTTTGTAGAAAAAAAATTCTTGAAAGAATAACCGGTTCCGGATATCTCGCCGTGTGCCGCAGTTTCTTCGTGACTGGCATGAAAGGAGAAACGATCGGTTGGGTTCTAATAACTTCCTGTTCTGCCCACGCGCGACTTACACTCCAGCGCCTCGCACTTCTTAAAATAAAACTGTAGTAGTTAGGAACCGGAACGCGGTGGCGGAAACAAGGAATCAAAGGAACTGCCACTTCATAATCAAAGAACTCCACACGACTGAGTAGTCATGGCTATTCTTGTTACTACTTGAACTTTTCATGCATTGATCATGGTAAAGGTCAAAGTCTATCTCTGTGACTCACAGACTAACTGGGTCATGATACGCGTACAGCCAGAATGCAGAACTCACTGATTAGATCCCGAACCGTGTATATAATGCACGCGTTCGTGACGGTATACCTTTGAATGGTATAGTGTTAACGATACAGTATTCCCATGATGAGGCGAAACTATAAGTTAACATGGCTCCCAGACTCGCTACAACTTGGCCTCCTGCCCTTCGCTGCAGAGGCGTGAAAGCAGCAGGTGAGGCAACGTGCCGCCAAGTTAAGATCCTCAGGAAGATCACACCTCGAGCTCGGCTAGTGAACAAGACAAATTACGGCTTTCGAAAC